TGCTGGGGTTCCCGAACAACCAACAGTGGCTGAGATAAGTATAACTGCACCTGTCTCTTCTGTTAGTGACGTCACTCTTGACGCACCTTCCGTGTCTTCTGTCTCTATGCCTCAGCCTCTACCTCTACCTCTCCCTTCTCCCTGCTTCACCCCAGCTCCTTCTGTTTCCAACTATGAAGCCTACTCAACAACCGATTTGCAGACTATCTGTGAATCAAGGGGAATAGACACCCGGTTAAGAAACAGGGCGGATTGCATCAAAGCGCTACGAACCACTGATCAGACCCCTGCCCCCCAGCTATACCCTGATCTGAGGGACCTCAAACCTGAAGGTGCAGTAAGCGAGGTGGTTAATCTAAGCCCACCGATGAAGCTGGGCCAGCCCTTGCACTCTTCCCGGACCGAGGCTTATCCAGTCAGGGTGCAGCAATTTGAAGGTCCTCCAATGCACAGGGGGAACGGACTTTAGGGGAACGGGTAGTTTGGCATGTCCCCTTCACCCCGGCAGAGATCCGCACTATTCTGGCTGAGCTCCCGGACTATCGAGTCAATCCGAGAGGATTTGCTCGAATGTTTGGACAAAACCAGTTCAGCTATGGTATGAGCGGGTCAGATTCTGCGCAGATCCTGCGGGCAAAGGTGGGCATGGAAGTGGCCAGTACAGTGATTGCAGGGTGCTCTATAACCACTCATGAGGAGATGACTTCAGGGGGCAAAGAGTTCTGTACACAGCTAAAGGCAAAGCTTCCAGAAATGTATGGTGCTACCTCTACTACGGACATGATGAAGCTCACCCAGGGTCCTAATGAGGAAAGCGCCTGCTTCTGGCGCCGTCTCAAGCAGATGGCACTGGATGCGGATCTGGAAGTTGGACCTGATGCTCCAACTGAAGGGGTAAAGGTGACCGCGACGCACATTCTGTTGCGGGCCAAATTTTTGGAAGGCATCGATACTAAAATTCGGGAAAGGCTGGTTCTGGCCCGACCCGAATATAATGAGATGTCTATCCCTGCTATCCTTTCCACTCTTGCGGCAATAGAGAGGGAAATGGATAGAAGAAAACAGGACAAGGCCAAAGTTCTTATGTCCCAGACCCCCCACACGAAAAACCAAGGGATCTGGGTCACAGGAAGGATAGGCCCCCACCCAGGTGCTTCCAGTGCCACCAAACGGGGCACATGAGGAGGAGCTGTCCCCAATTACCTAAAGGTCGGTGGCAGTTCATTCCTGATGAGTCCTCCGCCCCTGTGACCACATGGTAAGTAACTCCTATGAATTCTCATAGGAAGTTGACAAATCGGTGTCGGCCCAGATCCATCTTTTTCTAGAGGAATTAAAATATCCCCTCCCTTGCCTCACCGACACCAGTGCAGCAAGAACGGTCTTGCGAAAACAGGACATCCAAGGCAAGGTACCCCTCTCAGGGGAAAGCCCTCCTAACCCCTACTAACCTCACTATCAAACGATGCACTATTCTTAACCCAGCTTCTCTTCTTCCTGTGTTGGAAGATGAGAAGGGGGGGGGACACAGCAATGACAGTGCTGAATTTTGCAACACGACTAACAATACTAACACCTCTTCTGCTAACATGTCTTCTTTGTCCACTACTAACCTCTCTTCCAAAGGACACGACTGCATTTCTTTGGTGGAACTGGAGTCAGCGATGACACACCCCATATCACCCCGAGAGTAGCGGTAAGGTTGAACGTCTTAACGGAATCCTTAAAAACAGGATCTCCAACATCATGGCCGATATCCAAAAACCTTGGCCTGAGTGTCCCCCCATTGCCCCCCTATTCCATCCGGAATGCCCCTCGGCAACCACATGGGCTGTCACCCTACGAAGTGTTGTTTGGGGGACCTCCCAAAACAGGGTTGTACTTTCCTCAACAGTTGTCGTCTTTGCATTCACAGCTTACAGGTTACGTGCAATCTCTGCAACGGGAGCTGCAGAAGATACACCATCGGGTTCGCGAATCGCTCCCCGATCCAAATGCAATAACAGGTGTTATTTCTATTGAGCCAGGTGATTGGGTCGTCCTAAAGAAACATCAAAGAACCGGACTCGAGCCACGGTTCACCGGACCATACCAAGTCCAGCTGACGACACCTACCTCACTCAAGCTCGAGGGACGAGACAACTGGGTGCACGCAAGCCACTGCAAGAAGCTTTTCAGCTACACCAGAGAATGAGGGGTGTCATTTTCCTTTTTCTTTTTGTTTGTATCTATTACATGTGTGTGAACGGAGGAAAAGACGGCAGATACCCCAACCTTTTATTTAAAATGCATCTGCGTTTAGCCAGAACCGCCAACAAAACCAACTGTTGGGTATGCTCTAAGCCCCCACCCAGTCATCACATGTCCGCAATGGCCGCTGTTCATGCCCTATATGACATCCGCGTCGGCATGAAAAAGCAAGGGACCCCTGGTCAGCCCCCACGTAGACATTTGTCTGTAGAACTTAATGACACATTTTTAGCAGGTAACATCAGTTTTAGCACCAATATTAGCTCTAGCTCCTGTAGGACCCTCGTCAGTCCATTATGGGTAACTGGACAGCTAGGCAGCCCTCAGGTGTGCTTTAACATCAGCTTTGGCACAGGTAACAAGTTTGTTGGGACTACCACCTGTGAGGGAGGTATAACTGTCAATCTGACTAACCAGACTTCCCTTCTGAGTAACCACACTGACCGACCAGACCACGTGTGTTGGAAGGACGGATGTGATGTGCAGACTGAGGGAGCAATCCCCCAGTCTGTGCAACTGTTGCTCAGTGCCAGAGGCCGAACGAGGAACTCCTCCTGCTCTGCTCTGACAGGTCCCATACTATTTTCTGTGTGGTTCGGCAGCCTATAGAACATTTCCCCAGAACGCGAAAGGTTCGTGTGCCCTCATAAAGCTAGTCCCAGCATCCTATGTAGTGATGGATCATGAAGAGTTGATGGTCCACAAGAAGGTAAGGATGGCAGGGAGAGTTCACAGGGAGCTGTTCTCTGAGGGCGACCAAGCATGGGCTTGGTTCCCCTCATGGACAGGTTGGGGAATAGAACTTATGAAGCGCCTGAACAATTTTTCTGTCATCGTGGATAGTATGTTTAACGAGACCGTAGAGGCTGTCAGAGAAATTGCCCAAGAACAACGGCAGATGGGAATTTTAGTGCTTCAGGAGAAGATGGCCCTTGATTACCTTTTAGCCGCCAAAGGGGGGTTCTGTGAGTTCATCGGAGAGGATTGTTGTACTTGGATAGAAGACACCGATGACAAGGTCCAGGCCCATATGGACAAAGTTAGTGAACTACAGGGAAAAGCTAGAGCTATAGCTAGTGAGGGTTGGAATCCGTTCAAGGGTTTGGGAGGATTGGGAGATTTCCTGTTCTCCATCGGATCTTGGTTGAAGGAAGTGGGAGTGTATGTCCTGATGCTTCTCTTTTTCATCTGCCTTTTATATGCCGCGGTGAGATGTTCCTGTTGCCTCATCGACCGTGTAACCAAGCTCGGGCAGACGACCACATCTCTATGCCCGCTCCTGGGATCCCACTCCAACCACTGATCGGAGGAAGACCTCACCAACCAACCACCTTCTCTACAGATTACGTCCTGGCTTCCCTCTAATTTATCTCCCTGAAGACCACATTCTCCAAGACCTCCAAGCAAGCTTCAAGCCTCATCATGGTTTGTGTCTGCGATTTGGAAAACTGTCTGGGTTGAGACCAGCCTTGTGTGGCCCCGTCTGCAGGGGGCAATTTGAGAATCTGTTGCTGGATCTCCCCAGACCACCGTGGGATCACAAGCCTTATTCATACCACAAGTCTGTTTGTGGTTTTTGCAAGAGCCTTCCTGTAGTGAAGGTTCCAACGCTCTTGAGGATCATTGCTTCAATCAAGCCTGTTTGCGTTGAGTCTGCGTCGGGTCTTGTTGTTTCAGGTACCCCGTGGAGCTTTATTCTCAGGGACAACTACAGGAACTCTTTGAGGTTTTGAGACTACACACCCATCAAGCTGAAGAAGATCAAGAAGGGACACGAGGAGAATATGATAAAACAGGAGGGAATGTCATGGAAATTTTGTATTGTTGGTCGAACTTTAAACGTGTCATATATTCGTGTTATTCATATGTCTCTCGTGTGGCTTAATTAAAGCTCTGAAGGCTGCAATTGGGCCATGCGCATGTACAATGTATGTATTACAGTACTCAGCTCGGTAATGGATGAGATGGCAGATCTGCGCTTATAGACCGGCGTGTATACCACCACGGCATTCGATGCGAATGCCGCTGGCAGTAGACTGCGGGCCTGTATCCACATATCAGCAGCATAGTACCACATGGACTCCGTGCCGCAAGGCGCCAAGCGGTACGAACTCCGCGTGTAGGCTTATGCATATCTTACAACCCATTACCAATCTGAACTGTATCTTGGATGGATGTGTTTTAATAAAGATCATATCGGGCCCATCCAGGTACAGACTGATATTTCTAGGGAATGCTTGTACAGAGAATGAACATACTGTTAGGAGCTGGAACAAAAGATATGCTCTCCACAGAGGGCTCATGGGGGGAAGGGGAGGAAGTCTGCTGACCTCAGAAGGCTCATGGGGGAGGACCAGTGACAGATAATAGAAAAGGCTATGCTCCAATCGGAATGTACATCCTGTGTATAGGCACTCCCCATTGCATTGTTCTGTGGGAGGGGTTTGACCTTATTCATGTGGGGGGGGGCGTGTGTGTATTTGTAATAAAACCAAAGGGGAGAATGAAAATTGCCCTTATGTGAATTCAACCATCAACCTGAAGGTGTCGTGTGATCATTTCCAGGTATAGGGAGCTCCAATCACCCACATTTCAACAGAAGCTAAAGTAGTTGGATGGGCAGGAATCGTGTAGTTTAGCTGCAGTCGTGGTAAGCGAGATTCGCACAGCTTTATGGGGGATTTCTGCGCATCCAACTGCGAGTACTCACGGTAAGGAGAAATTCGTTAAAGTGAATTTCCAAGACACATGTGACCTCTGTGATCATTCACAGATTTCACACGTAGTAAGCAATGATGTGAGAAGTGACATCTTGTTTACTACTCTTCATGTGATCACTGATTGGCCAATCAATGATCATATATGATCGGAACCTCGCACAGAGGTCTCGTACAACGATTGATGTTCCAATGTGTCCGAGGACACAGCAGGCACCGGATTGCAGTGCTGTGCGCTCCCAGGGAGCACGCACAAGCAGGGGGCGGGGATGCCATTTAAAATTGGCCACCCACCCATGCACTGCTATCGTCCGGCTGTTTATATACAATGGCCGGACGGGAAGTGGTTTAAAACATATATGTGAACCCTCACCTTGTGAAACAACCCATTCAGTTTAAAATAGAAAGGAAAGGCAAAACATTTGTATATACATGTAAAAAAAAAATAAACACCTTTTTTTCCCTTTTTTAAAAGTGATCACATACCCTCTGTTCTCAGCTGCATAAGAAAGTGCTAGGAGAGGAGAAACAGCAGAAGTCTGATCATTGGAGGAGAGAACACTGAGTTCTCAGCACAGCCAGAACACTGACCATGCTGTGCTCGCCTACTGTGGTCAGTTTTTTTTTTTTGTAATAGGAAAACAAAGGGACTGGCAGGAACACTAGGGATTTACCCCCCAGTGTATATTTTTAGCACTGATTAGTGTCACTGGTTCCCACAAAGTGTCAGTTAGTGTCAGAATTTTTGTCACTGATCGCCGCCATTACCAGTATAAAAACAAATTCCAATATATATACCATAGTTTGAAGATCCTATAATTTTTGCACAAGCCAATCAATATACGGTTATTGGGAATTTTTTTTTTTCCCAGAAATATATAGCAGAATACATATTGTCCTAAATTTATAAAGAAATTAAATGTAAAAAAAAATATATATATATTGGATATGTTTTACTGCAAAAAGCAAAACATATTGCTTTTTTTCAAAATTGTGGGGTTTTTTTTTTTTGTTTATAGCACAAAAAATGAAAAAACCCAGAGGTGATCAAATACCACCAAAACAAAGCTTTACGTGTTAGAAAAAAATTACATAAATTTAATTTATGTACAGCGTTGCATGACCACACCGTTGTCAGTTCAACTGATGCAGCGCCACATGGCAAAAATTTCCTGGTCATGAAGGGGGGTTTCACACAAAGGAAGCAATACAAAGAGAATAGGATACTTTTTCATACAAGTACATGGTATAGCAGGCACATATCAGGAATATTAAATGTTGGGTTTACATATTCTTCAAGAAGGGGCTGGGGGGAGAAGCTTTTAAAAGTTTAGTTTTTTTTACCTTAATGCAGAGAATGCAAAATGTTTACCTTTACAACCACTTTAAGTAGAGAAACCCTGACACTAGACCTCCTCCTGCATTGATCAGCATAGTTGTCTCATACAAAACCTCCACAAGTCAGTTTTTTTTACTAGTTATTCCCAAGCCGGTCCAGTATTTTAATGCTTGGCAGCACTGCTTCGTTAGATGTCACAGCCTACTTTTGGAAGTGCATTGGTTTACATATCTGGCCACAGTCCAGCCTTAAATTGTATTTAAAAGCAATGAAACTCCAAGGATGGTCAAAGAAAGCCATACAGCTCCATGTAGTGGTTCCAAAATAAAAACATCTGCAAAATCACTTCAGCCAAAAAAAAGATAAAAATCAATAGCCTATAAAGATAAAATAACAAAACTAACTTTTGCTGCAATATTCAGCTTCAGTCCAGAGATTTCTTCTGCAGTACTTTTTTTATGTCACTAGATGCCCTTAGTCTGATGGCCAGAACCATTTAGCCCATTTTCTCTGAGCCCAGGTCATCCTGGACCCACCCAAACTTCTTACTGGCCAGTAAAAAAAAATCAGTACAGTGATTAGCTCATCTCTCTGCCACTCTGCCTTCCCCTCTTATCAACATACTTCTTGTCAGCACTGATTAGGTTCTTGTACTATGGCTTCCTTCCACATTTTAGCTCTGCTGTACAGAGACTGCAAGGGGCTGATACCATGTAAAGTTACTTGCACTGCTTTCAATAAAAAATACAGTTACTGTTGGCTTCATGTTTACAGAGTTGTAGTCACTTGTCTCATATACTGTGTCAGCCTAAATAAAGTCCATCTACAAATATGCAAGCAATTGGTGGTCATGTCCATTTGACATTCAGGTTGGATTCACATCGTTGTATTTTTGCTTGATGTATTTTTGCCCTTTAGAGGATGACCCCCCTTCCTGACCAGGCCATTTTTTGGCCTAATTTTAACTGACAATTGCGCGGTCATGCAACACTGCACCCAAATGAAATTTACGACCTTTTTTCCCCCCACGAATTGAGCTTTCTTTCAGTGGTATTTGATCGCCTGTGCACTTTTTATTTTTTGCGCTATAAAAAAAAGACCGACAATTTTTTTGAAAAAAACAATATTTTTGACTTTTTGATATTAAACATGTCCAGTAAAAAAATTTTAAAAATCAAATTTCGTCATAAATTTAGTCCAAAATGCATTCTGCTACATGTCTTTGCTAAAAAAAAAAAATCCCAATATGTGTAAATTAATTGGTTTACGTGAAAGTTCTAGATTTGTTTTGTACTAGTAATGGTGGCGATCAGCGACTTATAGTGGGACTATGGGACTACAGCAGGCATTCTGACACTGGGGGGAACTGGCTTGGTGTCACTGACATCACTCAGCTAACAAAAAGCACTGACACTGTACTAATGACACTGGGCAGGAAGGGGTTAACATGAGGGACGATTAAAGGGTTAACAATGTGCTGTTTTACATAGTGCTGTGTCCATGTACTTCACTGTAAGCACACTGCTTTGGATGGCTGTGCTGTGCACAGCCATCCAAGGCAGTATATGCACAAGCTGATAGGGAGGAGAACTGTTTTGTTTAGAAACAGTTCTCCTCCCCATCGGAGTGCTCAACAATCACCAGGTGCCGGTGAGTAATCACTGGTCGAGACCTGGTGATTGACAGCCGTGGCCGCTAATGGTGACGCACTGAAGCACAGGTTGGTATTCAAATTATGCGCTTCCCACACAAGGGACCAATCCAAGAGCTGGGGGTGTGGCCAGGCTCAGTACCCTTCAACTGACAAGGAAAATGAAGACGGTAGAGTGCAGCAATCAGTGAGCAACAGGAAGAGCTGGGAGGCTGCCTAACCATTCCAGTTGGGGAACATGTGGCCAGGCTCATTACTCTGTAGCTGACAAGGATGACAGAAAGAGATGGAAGACTGCATAACAGTCTTACGGTGAAGAACCTGGAGGTGAAGAGCAAGGATCAGAGGTTACAGCCAAGTAACAGTCCATAGCAGCATGTACACAGCATACAGTAAATGTAGTTTCTTGCATTAGAAAGTACTTTCTACCTTTCCTTGCACTCTGAACATTTCTTACCCCTGACCTCTGCACTCTATGCATTGCTCACTCATGACTTCTGCACTCTCTGCATTACTTTCTACTTCCCCCTGCACTCTGAACATTACTTACTTCTGACCTCTGCACACTGACCATAACTTACTTCTGACCTCTGCACTTTGTGCATTACTCATTTATGATCTCTGCACTCTGAGCATTACTTTCTACAGTTCCCTGCACTCTGAGCATTACTTAATCCTGTGCTCTGCACTCTGCGCATTACTCACTCATGACTTCTGTACCCTCTTCATTACTTTCTATTTCCCCCTGCACCCTGAGCATTACCTATTTCTGATCTCTGCACTCTGTGCATTACTCATTTATGATCTCTGCACTCCGTGTATTACTTTTTTGCTGTTCCCTGCACTCTGAACATTACTTACCCATGTCCTCTGCACTCTGCGCATTACTCACTCATGACCTCTGCATTCTCTGCATTATTTTCTACTCCCCCTGTACTCTGAGCATTACTTACTTCTGACCTCTGCACTCTGTGCATTACCCGTTTATTACTCTGCACTCTGTGCATTACTTTCTACAGTTCTCTACACTCTGTGCATTACTTTTACTGTTCCCTGCACTCTGAGCATTACTTACTTCTGACCTTTGAACTCTGTGCATTACTTTCTACTGTTCCCTGCACTCTGTGTATTGCTTACTTCTGACCTCTGCACTCTGTGCATTGCTTTCTACTGTTCCCTGCACTTTGAGCATTACTTACATCTAACATCTGCACTCTGTGCATTACTTTCTACTGTTCCCTGCACTTTGAGCATTACTTACGTCTAACATCTGCACTCTGTGCATTACTTTCTACTGTTTCCTGCACTTTGAGCATTACTTACTTCTGACCTTTACACTCTGTGCATTACTTTCTACTGTTCCTGCAGTCTGAGCATTACTTACCCCTGACCTCTGCACTCTGTTTATTACGCACATCTGATGTTTACACAGTGTGCATTACTTACTACTGCCCCCTGCACTTTGTGCATTATGCACTCCTGCACAGCGCTATACACTTTCTGACCCAGCACAGATTAGACTTGTTTTTTTTATAAATACCACTTTAAGCCCCTCTCATAGTTAGCACACAATTTGGCCAAACCCATCATTTAGTGCTATTAGTCTGCTCCCTACTAAGCCCTCTGTTCCACCTGTGTGGAGTGGTACAAATTATGAAGATGTTCCCTACAGTTGTAGATAGCATCAAGCATATTGGTCCATTACTACTTATTTAAAGTTAATAACCTGACAGATGTTCATAGCTTCTGAGTTGATGCGGCTCTATTGCGTGCCAAAAAAAACACAAATATAAGTGAATAGGATCTGTTTTTATTTTACAGTGGCTTCCTGGCAATGCTTAAACTGTGTTTAATCCGTAAACATTATTTGGTGAGAAGATAACGAAAATGTTTTTCCCAACTGTCCAAGATGAATTCATTTTTATTTACTGAAACAGAATTAACATAAAGCATTATAAAGATTTTTTTTTGTCTTGAAGCTTTTAATGATTTATGTTTTATATAAAGTCCTCTGCAGCTTACATGTTTTAGAAGTTGCAAAAAAGCACTAACCCTTTGTGCAATATAGCAGAGCTATTTTAATAGAGGGGAAACAGTACAACTGTAGATAATGGAGTATCAGTTTGTGACAGGAAACTATAGTACTGTGCCAAAAAAAAAAACAAATAATAATGTATGCAAATCAAGAAATACATCCAGCAAGTCACTTATCTTTGTCTAATATTGACCATTAAAATAGGAGTATTTCACTGCAGTTTAGGGAGGCTTCAGCTCCGTCACCCCCAAAGTAGAGGTTCAAAATACTGCTTTACACTGGGGCATCAGCTGTGCGCAAAATCACACACATATATATAGAAATATATATAGATATATATATATACACTTTGATTTTGCTGTCTTCTGGG